GGACCAGCTAGACCTTATTGACATCTATAGGACGTTTCACCCCAAAACAATCAACTTCACCTTTTTCTCAAGTGCACACGGAACCTTCTCCAGAATAGATCACATCCTGGGCCATAAATCTAGTCTTGGTAAATTCAAAAAAATTGAAATCATTCCAGTCATCTTTTCTGACCACAGTGCAGTAAGATTAGATCTCAATTATAGGAAAAAAATTATTAAAATTTCAAACATATGGAGGCTAAACAACACACTTCTGAATAACCAACAAATCATAGAAGAAATCAAAAAAGAAAATATGCATAGAAATGAATGAAAATGAAAACACAACAACCCAAAACCTATGGGACACTGTAAAAGCAGTGCTAAGGGGAAGATTCATAGCATTACAGGCCTACCTCAAGAAACAAGAAAAAAGTCAAATAAATAACCTAACTCTACACCTAAAGCAACTAGAGAAGGAAGAAATGAAGAACCCCAGGGTTAGTAGAAGGAAAGAAATCTTAAAAATTAGGGCAGAAATAAATGCAAAAGAAACTAAAGAGACCATAGCAAAAATCAACAAAGCTAAAATTTGGTTTTTTGAAAAAATAAACAAAATTGACAAACCATTAGCAAGACTCATTAAGAAACAGAGGGAGAAGAACCAAATCAACAAAATTAGAAACGAAAATGGAGAGATCACAACAGACAACACTGAAATACAAAGGATCATAAGAGACTACTACCAGCAGCTCTATGCCAATAAAATGGACAACTTGGAAGAAATGGACAAGTTCTTAGAGAAGTATAACTTTCCAAAACTGAATCAGGAAGAAATAGAAGATCTTAACAAACCCATCACAAGCAAGGAAATCGAAACTGTAATCAGAAATCTTCCAGCAAACAAAAGCCCAGGACCAGATGGCTTCTCAGCTGAATTCTACCAAAAATTTAGAGAAGAGCTAACACCTATCTTACTCAAACTCTTCCAGAAAATTGCAGAAGAAGGTAAACTTCCAAACTCATTCTATGAGGCCACCATCACCCTAATTCCAAAACCAGACAAAGGTGGCACAAAAAAAGAGAACTACAGGCCAATATCACTGATGAACATAGATGCAAAAATCCTTAACAAAATTCTAGCAAACAGAATCCAACAACATATTAAAAAAATCATACACCATGACCAAGTGGGCTTTATCCCAGGAATGCAAGGATTCTTTAATATCCGCAAATCAATCAATGTAATACACCACATTAACAAATTGAAAGATAAAAACCATATGATTATCTCAATAGATGCAGAAAAAGCCTTTGACAAAATTCAACATCCATTTATGATTAAAACTCTCCAGAAAGCAGGAATAGAAGGAACATACCTCAACATAATAAAAGCTATATATGACAAACCCACAGCAAGCATCACCCTCAATGGTGAAAAATTGAAAGCATTTCCCCTGAAATCAGGAGCAAGACAAGGGTGCCCACTCTCACCACTACTATTCAACATAGTTTTGGAAGTGTTTTTTTTTTTTTGACAAACATTTTTTAAAAATTTTATTTTATTTTATTTTATTTTATTTTTAATTAATTAATTAATTTATTTATTTTTTATCACAACCATAGTGTATCTTTTTTTTTTTTTTTTTTACATGTATTCCCCATCCCGGTCCCCCCTCCCACCTCCCTCTCCACCCGATCCCTCTTGGTCTTCCCAGTGCACCAGGCCCGAGTGGCCACAGCAATCAGGGCAGAAAAAGAAGTAAAAGGAATCCAGATAGGAAAAGAAGAAGTGAAACTCTCTCTGTTTGCAGATGACATGATCCTCTACATAGAAAACCCTAAAGACTCTACCAGAAAATTACTAGAGCTAATCAATGAATACAGTAAAGTTGTAGGATATAAAATTAACACACAAATCTCTTGCATTCCTATACACTAACAATGAGAAAACAGAAAGAGAAATTAAGGAAACGATACCATTCACCATTGCAACAAAAAGAATAAAATACTTAGGAGTATATCTACCTAAAGAAACAAAAGACCTATACATAGAAAACTATAAAACACTGATTAAAGAAATCAAAGAGGACACAAACAGATGGAGAAATATACCATGTTCATGGATTGGAAGAATCAATATTGTCAAAATGGCTATACTACCCAAAGCAATCTATAGATTCAATACAATCCCTATCAAACTACCAACGGTATTTTTCACAGAACTAGAACAAATAATTTCACAATTTGTATGGAAATACAAAAAACCTCGAATAGCCAAAGCAATCTTGAGAAAGAAGAATGGAACTGGAGGAATCAACCTGCCTGACTTCAGACTATACTACAAAGCCACAGTCATCAAGACAGTATGGTACTGGCACAAAGACAGAAATATAGATCAATGGAACAGAATAGAAAGCCCAGAGATAAATCCACGAACCTATGGTCACCTTATCTTTGACAAAGGAGGCAAGGATATACAATGGAAAAAAGACAACCTCTTTAACAAGTGGTGCTGGGAAAACTGGTCAACCACCTGTAAAAGAATGAAACTAGAACACTTTCTAACACCATACACAAAAATAAACTCAAAATGGATTAAAGATCTAAATGTAAGACCAGAAACTATAAAACTCCTAGAGGAGAACATAGGCAAAACACTCTCCGACATAAATCACAGCAGGATCCTCTATGACCCACATCCCAGAATTTTAGAAACAAAAGCAAAAATAAACAAATGGGACCTAATGAAACTTAAAAGCTTTTGCACAACAAAGGAAACTATAAGCAAGGTGAAAAGACAGCCCTCAGATTGGGAGAAAATGATAGCAAATGAAGCAACAGACAAAGGATTAATCTCAAAAATATACAAGCAACTCCTGCAGCTCAATTCCAGAAAAATAAATGACCCAATCAAAAAATGGGCCAAAGAACTAAACAGACATTTCTCCAAGGAAGACATACGGATGGCAAAAAAACACATGAAAAGATGCTCAACATCACTCATTATTAGAGAAATGCAAATCAAAACCACAATGAGGTACCATTACACGCCAGTCAGGATGGCTGCTATCCAAAAGTCTACAAGCAATAAATGCTGGAGAGGGTGTGGAGAAAAGGGAACCCTCTTACACTGTTGGTGGGAATGCAAACTAGTACAGCCACTATGGAAAACAGTGTGGAGATTCCTTAAAAAGCTGGAAATAGAACTGCCATATGACCCAGCAATACCACTTCTAGGCATACACACTGAGGAAACCAGATCTGAAAGAGACACATGCACCCCAATGTTCATCGCAGCACTGTTTATAATAGCCAGGACATGGAAGCAACCTAGATGCCCATCAGCAGACGAATGGATGAGGAAGCTGTGGTACATATACACCATGGAATATTATTCAGCCATTAAAAAGAATTCATTTGAATCAGTTCTAATGAGATGGATGAAACTGGAGCCCATTATACAGAGCGAAGTAAGCCAGAAAGATAAAGACCACTACAGTATACTAACACATATATATGGAATTTAGAAAGATGGTAACGATAACCCTATATGCAAAAAAAGAAAAAGAGACTCAGATGTATAGTACAGACTTGTGGACTCTGTGGGAGAAGGCGAGGGTGGGATGTTTCAAGAGAACAGCATTGAAACATGTATATCTAGGGTGAAACAGATCACCAGCCCAGGTTGGGTGCATGAGACCAGTGCCCGGGCCTGGTGCACTGGGAAGACCCAGAGGGATAGGGCGGAGAGGGAGGTGGGAGGGGGGACGGGATGGGGAATACATGTAAATCCATGGCTAATTCATTTCAATGTATGACAAAACCCACTGCAATGTTGTAAAGTAATTAGCCTCCAACTAATAAAAATAAATGGAAAAAAAAAAAGAGAGAGATGGAACAGTGAATAAACAGGCATCAGAAGAAGGAAAGGGCTATCTGCTTAATTTTTGAACCAGACCCAGGGTAAGGCATGCCGTATAGTTTCATTTAATCTTTACAACTCATTCCCATTTCCTAAGTGAAGAAGCTGAGGCCGTGAGAGAAAGGATGCACCATGGGTATGCAGCAGATCTTGTCAACCGGTATAGGTTTACTTATTGGCTGCGACCTGGAAATCTATTACCAGGTAGATGATCACTTCTTGACTATTAGGTGTTTCTTTAGTTATCTTCCTGGGCGTGCTCCTGGGTTCCCCAGTGGCAGTATCTGTGTAAGGGCACACATTTTGTCAGAAGGTAGCATGAAGTGGTGTAAATCATCGTTTCATCTAAGAGGGAAGCTTGGTTTTTGCTTCTGTTGCCACTGCTTAGTAAACGTGTGGTCTCAGCCAGGTCGCTGATTTCTTGAATATCATCTATATGACATAGCTACTGAGTTTCTTGTGAGTGGTATGTGGCTATATGAATCAAATGAGAGAAATAAAATTGCTTTTTAGGCATTATACATAATAAAACATAAGGCATTTTAATATGTTAAGATTCTTTTCGAGAAGGAGTCAGAAGTTCATCAAAGGTAATAATTTCGTAAAAGCTTGGTTATGGAAACTTAGAAATGGTTTGAGTTTAACCTGAAGTTTTGAGATCAGTGTCAAATATGGCAAGTAAACTTCCCAACTGAATATCTCTTGTAGTCGAGAAATGTGCTTCTCACTTGAACGAACTTGTGACTTGAGAAGGCATTTTCGTAAGGTGTGTTAATACTCTCTAGAAGGAGCACACAACTTGATTTCAGAAGGCCTGGGTTCAAGTGCTAGCATGTAACTCATTCAGTGTCACCGTGGATTTTACCTTGTCCCCATAAGCTTCAGTCTAAAGTTAGGGATAATGAAGCCTGCTGTTTCTTTGCCTTGGGGTGACTGCATGACTCAGAAGAGATCTTGGGATGCAAAAGCACTCTGCAGACCACAGGTGGAGTTTGTTTACTTTGCTTGTTCAGTAGAGAAGGGGGTACAGGAGTGGGAACGTTTTGGAGACCATCCTGTGACATGTATCCCTTTCTCTTACTTCCCTGATACACAGGTGGACGGGCAGGTGGTCGCATTGCTCGTGCAGAATCTGGAGCGTCTGGACGAGTCTGTGAAGGAAGAGGCGGATGGTGTCCACAACACTCTGGGTAAGGGGGAGAGTGGCCAGCACTTCCTGAGTTTGTGTTTGTTTTGGGGGTTGGCACTCATTTCCTTCTTCCTTTGTAATAGAGTCAACAGCCAGAGGGTTTTCCTTTTTTCTGCTCCCAAACTGCCTGTTCAGAAATGAAGACCCTTGTGTAAATTTCATATAACTGCTGCTTTGGTTGGGCTTTCAGGTAATAAAAGCAGAAATCCACTAAGTAGATGACCTTCCTGGACAAAAACGGCAGGCTTCTCTGAACAGGCCTTTGTCTCTGTCTCTAAAAGTCAGGATGAAGTCTATGCAGGATGGATTCTTTTTTTTTTTTTTACCCATTTTTTTTTTTTTTTTTCTTCCCATTTCTCTGCAGTGGAACTACAAACTTTTGAACCACTGTGTATAGGCATACCTCATTTTTTGTGTGTGTACTTTATTGTGCTTTGCAGATGTTACATTTTTACAAATTGAAAATTTGTGGCAACCCTGCATTGTCAGATGATAGATAGCATTATTCACTAATACGGTATTTTTAAATTAAGGTATGCATGTTGTTTTTAGATATAATGTTATTGCACACTTAGTAGACTATGGTTTAGTGTAAGTAAAACTTTTATATGCACTTGGAAAGCAAAAAATTCATGTGATTCTCACTTTATTGTGATATTCACTTTATTGCAATGGTCTGGAACCAAACCCACAATATCTCCAAGGTACACCTTGGATGTACACCTGTTACCTTGGATTTTACCTTGTCCCCTTAAGCTTCAATCTAAAGTTAGGGATAATGCCTAACTTTATAGGGCATTTTATTTGAAAAAGAGTTAGTATTTCCTTCCCTTCTTTTTTTTAAAATTTTTTAATTTAATTTTATTTATTTTTTTCATTTATTTTTATTAGTTGGAGGCTAATTACTTTACAATATTGTAGTGGTTTTTGTCATACATTGACATGAATTAGCCATGGATTTACATGTGTTCCCCATCCCGATCCCCCCTCCCACCTCCCTCTCCACCCAATCTCTCTGGGTCTTCCCAGTGCACCAGGCCTGAGCACTTGTCTCATGCACCCAACCTGGGCTGGTGATCTGTTTCACCCTAGATATATACATGTTTCGATGCTGTTCTCTTGAAACATCCCACCCTCGCCTTCTCCCACAGAGTCCAAAAGTCTGTCTGTACATCTGTGTCTCTTTTTCTGTTTTGCATATAGGGTTATCATTAGCATCTTTCTAAATTCCATATATATGTGTTAGTATACTGTAGTGGTCTTTATCTTTCTGGCTTACTTCTCTCTGTATAATGGGCTCCAGTTTCATCCATCTCATTAGAACTGGTTCAAATGAATTCTTTTTAATGGCTGAGTAATATTCCATGGTGTATATGTACCACAGCTTCCTCATCCATTCGTCTGCTGATGGGCATCTAGCTTGCTTCCATGTCCTGGCTATTATAAACAGTGCTGTGATGAACATTGGGGTGCACATGTCTCTTTCAGATCTGGTTTCCTTGGTGTGTATGCCCAGAAGTGGGATTGCTGGGTCATATGGCAGTTCTATTTACAGTTTTTTAAGAAATCTCCACACTGTTTTCCATAGCGGCTGTACTAGTTTGCATTCCCACCAACAGTGTAAGAGGGTTCCCTTTTCTCCACACCCTCTCCAGCATTTATTGCTTGTAGACTTTTGGATATTTCCTTCCCTTCTGTGTACTTTACCGTGTAAACTGTGAGTCAATATATTGCTGTTAACTTGCCTGTCCCTTTATCATATGTTCATTTAAGTAGATTCCTCTGCAATATTTCCCCTCCTCCTCCTCAAGTCTCCCCAGTCCTTCCTTCTGCAAAGTTGATGAACCAATAGTCTGTTTAAAATTGTGGTTTGGAGGAGTGCTGTTTATCACCATTTGCTGTCTTATAAAACCAAAGGTGACATATCTGTAAGCAGAGCTTGAGAAATGAACAAGGCCCAGCAGAAGTAGAAATTTTGATGAGGTTAGATTTCCTCCCAGCTCCTTGGTGTCTACCACAGGTTTCTCTTGCGGTTTTATACTCTCTACTGGGAAATTATCATAAAGGAGGAGGAAGGCAGCACCTAGGGAGTAAGAGAAGAGAGAACACAACAGTCTGTGATCTGGGGGTTGGCTGTAGTCTAGAGCCAGAATTTGGCATTGCCATCTGTCAGCCTAATGCTGAATTTCGCTGAATAGAAGGCTTATCAGAAGTTTTAACGGACTGTTTATAAAAAGAGCCTGATGTAATGGGAAAAGCACCAGCCTGTCAATCTGTGAAGATCTGTATAGTGTCAGCTTGGTCCCTTACCAGCAGCTCAGGAGATTGATCCCGCTCTTCCCTACGAAGCATGTGATGTTTGTCAGGCACTGTTCTAGGCCACTGGGTACATTAAAGATGAATTAGGCAAAGTTCTTCTTAAGAACCAGACTGATGGGAAATTCTTGAACAGAAAGGAGAGATAATACAGGGTATTGTAATAATATAATAGGAGTCAGTGGGGAGCCCTACTGAAGAGAAGAGGAAGGGTCTCCAAATGGCTGGGTAGGAGCAGGTAGCTGATTGAGGCTGAATATGAAGAAAGGTGCATTTTGATGGAAAAATGTGAGCCAGACCCTCAGGCAGGGCAGTATCGTTTGTCAAGTCACGAATGGGTAAGGGCTTTGGGGAAAGACTAGAAATGTGCTGTGGCAGCGAGAGGTAAAGATGATGGGAGATGGGACCAGAGGAGTAAGATTGTCCAGACTTTGGAAGACCTTCTAAACCTTGGCAAGATGCTTGGAGTTTATTCTAGTGGACAATAGAAAGCCACCTGAAGTGTAAGCAGAATAAGACAAAGGCATCAGAGGTTAAACAGAATGAGCCAGTTTCTTAGAAAACGTGGAAAGTAATGCAAGGTATTGAGATGATCGTCATCGCTTAGGTGTTACTGCCGGTCCGCAGTCACAGCTTTGCCTCTACTCCCTGAGGGCTCCCTGGCCTCCTTTAAGTTGCACTGGCGAGGCTGACGCGGGCTGAAGAGTGAGGACGAAATAGGAGGTGTATTGCTTCTTTCAGCCTTTTCTCTGGAAGACTCAGGCCTGCTGGGTGTTGTGCTTAGAGAGCACAGAGCTCCATCTGCTCCCTGGTAGTAACATATCCAGGCGTGGGGAGCAGCAGGAAGGAAAGGAAAGCACTGGATGTATTAGAATGAGGGTTTGGTTTGTATGGGTTTGGATCTGTTTTTGGCTGTGCTAGGTCTTCGTAGCGGCACATGGGCCCTTCATGACAGTGCGAAGGTGCTTCCCTAGCTGCATCACAGGCTCTTGTTGTGGTGCATGGGCTCTCTAGTTGCAGCAAGCAGGCTTAGTTGCCCTGTGGTGTGTGAGGGTCTTAGTGCCCCAGCCAGGGATTGAACCCTCATCCCCTGCATTGGAAGGTCAATTCCTAACCACTGGACCACCAGGGAAGTCTGTAGTTTTTTTTTTTTTAACATCCTTTTTTTTAGTCTCATAGTCATACAATCACTTTTTTTTTTTTTTTGGCCTCCTCATTTAAAATTTTTCTATTAAACAGCAATGTGCCTGTTGTAGGAGATAGCAGGACCAATTATATTTGCTTCTGAGTACCTGACAGTTACCTCTGCCAGCATGGCCTTTCCTGTCTATGCACCTTGTTTTGTTCAATTAAGAATATCATGCTGCTTCCCTTGTAGTATCTGAAGAAAGAGATCTGAAAAGGGGTGAGTCAGGAGAGGAAGAGGCTCTGAATTCGTCCACTGATTTTTCCTAATAAGGCTTCTGCCTAGCCCCCTGTCTTCCGTCACAGGTCTCAGGGACTGTAGTACTGTGACAGTAAGAGGGCCTTCTTAGGCAGATACTCACACCTTTGTGTATTCCACTGTAGTGTTCTACACAGCAGAAAACCTTCGCTATTCCTTTAGTGAATTCTGACAAGTTCAGTTATGAGTTTTACTTGTAACATAACTTGAAGGGGAAAAAAAAACAAACATAGCATGTCCCTGGTTAATCTAAGAAGGACAACACCGCATCTGGCTGGGAGGAACATAGGCCAATAGGAAGAGGAGTGTAATGTCTGGCATGGGAAGCAGGCTGCAGGTGGAAACAAAGTTGCCCTCCCAAATGACGGCTGTCTGTCTCTCTGCAGCTATTGTGGAAAACATGGCTGAGTTCCGGCCGGAGATGTGCACAGAGGCCGCCCAGCAGGGTCTTCTGCAGTGGCTGCTGAAGAGGCTGAAGGTAAGTCTTTGCTGTGTGCGTGGCTCACGCTGGGTCGTTGGCACAGGTTGTTATTCCTGGGCTGCGTGATCTCGTTTGGGAATCTTTTGGCCAATGTTGCCTCTTTCCTTGCTTCTCTTCTTTCATTTGTTTTAAAAATCGCCTTTAATAGCCCTGAAAATAATATAAACATGTTGTCAACACAAATTCACATAGTACAGAAGGTTTATACCAGAAATAGAATTTCTCCTCTGCTGATTCCTTCTAGTTCTACTTCTCAGAGACAGCCACTGTTAACAATATTTTATCTATCCTTCCAGAAATTGTCTGTGTAAATAGGAGTGTATGTGTGTGTTTATATGTGTTTCACAAATAGAATTATACATTATTTTCTTTTGCAAGTTGATTTTTTTTTCACTGAACTAGTGGCTGCCTAGTATTCCATTTTATGGTTGTGCCAAATTAATGTAACCATTCTCCTGTTCATAACAGTTTTTTACTGTTAAAACAGCACAGTAGTGAGTATTCCCATGTACACACACACACTGTTTTGTTTTCTTTTTTTTGCACACTTGTGTCAGTTTATCTGTAGGATAAATTCCTAGAAATAGAATTGTCCAGTTAAAGGGTATGCACATTAACATTTTTGATAAATTTTGCAGAATTGTCCTCTATCAGTTGCTCCACTGAGTTGAGATGTCTGTTTCCTCTAGCAATATTGGGCATTGTCAAACTTAAAATTTTGTTAATTTGATAAGTGAAAACTTATTTTATTTTAATTTGAAATTTTTAAATCAAGTACAAAGTGTTGGCTTTCACCTGTTTATTAGGCAGTTGTATTCATCTCTTTTAGCTTCCTATTTATATCCTTTGTTCATATTTTTGTTGGATCATTCATTCGCTTTCCTTGTTAGCATAGTCCTTTTGACCATTTAGCGCCTGTACCATAGAGTGAATGAGGAAAGGGAGAGGTAAGGGCTTTCTCTCTCATCCCAAAGATGTGATGGGAGGAAGTTTGGAACTACTTAATACTGTAGTACTGAAATATTCTGGGCAAGCAAGGATTCCCAGCCTTTCAGTGAGAAAGAGGCACTTGTTTGTGGCTGGAATGATTCTTTAGGTAGTCCTGGCCTTGCTGAGCTCCAGAGGGTCATAGAGATGCAGAAAGTCTGAGGTGCATCATGTGCAATTTATCCCCGTCCCCGCCCCCCCCCCCCCCAGCACTGTCTTGGCAGGGGTGAGGAGGAAGATTCTGCTTAAGATATCATATGTCCGCATGGTTCTCTCTTTCTGACAATTTAGGTCTTCTCAAATCCTTCTTATTTAACCCTTTGTTGCCACGAAATCTGTAACATAGACTTGCATTAACATGACTTGAGGATATTCAGCTCGCTTGTGTGTTCTCCTCAGTGGGTAGGGGCACACTTGCTGGTATAAGTATAAACTTAATGCGTAGTTCAATAGACTGCAACTTCCTATCCCCCCACACACACCCTCGCCTTTCCTTTCAGGCAAGAGTCAAGTCATTGTCATGAGTGAAATGCAGCTTCTTTTGACCTCCTCTCATGAATCTTTATGTCCTTTGGTTTCCCCATGTAACTCACATCTCCCTCAGTTTCTTCGTTCCTCGATAGTCAACAAAACTTTATTCTCCAAAGCCTTGAGATATTTTGGGGATGAGGAGTAGGGGAGAGGAAAGTAAAACACAGAGTTAAGGTGATGGGATAGATGGCAGGGACCTGAGTCTTAATGGGATGGCCACAGATTGGGGCCTCAACTTTATACAAAATAATCCAATAATTTTTGTCTTTGTGAGGTCAGGGCCAATTTTTCCCAGTTGCTTGAGGCTTGGTACTGAATCAGGGAGTCTTCGTTAAACTACAATAGCCGGCTTCTTCTGCCTTTTGAAAGGTGTTGAAACTTGCAGGTCTTTTTATGATTTGGTAACAGAAAGGAAATTGAGACCTTTGGGTGGGTGGTTGAATTCCATTACTCTTATGAGAGTAGTAAAGAGGCCCACTTGGCTGTCTTGCAAGATTTTGACTCTTACCTTTCAGGCATAGTATTTATGTGATCCTCGGGGCACAAATAGCCATGTTGTTATCTCCAAAACAGTTTTTCAAAATTTGGGGGTATCTAACCATTAAAATGCTATTTGGTTATTTTATTTTATTTTATTTTTTTCCCCATTTATTTTTATTAGTTGGAGGCTAATTACTTTACAACATTGCAGTGGTTTTTGTCATACATTGAAATGAATTAGCCATGGATTTACATGTATTCCCCATCCCAGTCCCCCCTCCCACCTCCCTCTCCACCCCATCCCTCTGGGTCTTCCCAGTGCACCAGGCCCGAGCACTTGTCTCATGCATCCAACCTGGGCTGGTGATCTGTTTCACCCTAGATAATATACATGTTTCGATGCTGTTCTCTTGAAACATCCCACCCTCGCCTTCTCCCACAGAGTCCACAAGTCTGTTCTATACATCTGAGTCTCTTTTTCTGTTTTGCATATAGGGTTATCGTTACCATCTTTCTAAATTCCATATATATGTGTTAGTATACTGTAGTGGTCTTTATCTTTCTGGCTTACTTCGCTCTGTATAATGGGCTCCAGTTATTTTACTAGTAAGTGAAAATTCTTAGAAAATTCTGTGCTGACCAGAACATTAATGAAAGTTCTGCTTCAGGGTGAGGCCAGGAAGAAGGCATGTCTTTAAAAGCAATGTCTTGCTCTTATTTCTCATAATCTGGGGAAGTGCTTATTGTAATCTTCACCATCATAATCTTGGTGAATCAGATTGAATGATGGACCCAGAGCCTTACTTTCACAGGTAGAGCTTTAAAAAATACAGATTCCCAGACGTACTTTCTCAGTCTCTGTCTTCAATGTGTTTTAGACACGTTCCCCGTGTGATTATAAATGTACAGTGAATTATAAGATCCACTGGTCTCTAGAAATGTGAGCATTTTTGTTACCTGTTTTTGTTCAGTACTACTCCAAAACTAATTTAAAACTTCATTTCCATTATGCCATTCCCTGTTCAAGAACCTTCCTACAGTGATGCTAATGCCCTCTGCATCAGATCCCACAGTCTCTGCCTACTTTTTAAGGCCCCTTACCCTGGCCTGATCTGACCCTTCCATTTCTCAGTTTTGAAACATTGGCCTTTTAGTTTTCAGACATGCCTCTCTTTACCTGCCCCCTTTGCAAAGGTCAGTATTTTTGACCTCTGTGTCTTTGTTCATGTTCCTCCCTCCACCAGGAATGACTCCTGCCTTATGTATTTCTAAATTTTACATAACCTTCATTAACCAACTTAAACCCCCTACTCTTCCATATTGTCACCACCATTTTTTGAACTGGAAGGAATCTTATAAGTTCTAGAAAAAATTAAAAATCAAGACCTGTAGAGATTAAGACAGTTAAGATTGCCCAAATTCATGTAGCTAGTTACAGGTAGAGCTAAAATTAAAACTTAAGCTTCCAGACTTTTTTCATGTACTCTTTCCATAGCACTACTTTGCCCATACTACCCTCTTTCTTTTCTGAGTATGTCATTTTTTTTTTTTTTTTCTTGTTGGTTCTGTTCTGGGACTTAGCAGATCTGGGTTCTAACATATGCCTATAGCTGAGTGAAACATACCCTCATGGAGTATCTTTTCTTCATTACCTGGGAGACTTTCATATTATTATGTGTGTTCCTGGTCTTTCTCCAAATATCCTTAAACGCCTTAACAGCACGGACTAGGGCTCCATCATATGTGGCATCTCTTCCCTGTTGTTCTCTGGGTGTGGTTCCCAATGAGGAGCGTCAAAATTACCTGGCTGCTTGTTGGAAATGTACATTCTTGAACCCACCCCAGACTCACTAAATCTGCCCAGCTTGGAGTGGAGCCAGCAATCTGTGTTTTAACAAGCCCTCCAGGAGATTCTGATGCGTGCTGAAGTCTGAGAACCCCTTCCATGTTTACATTGCTTTATAAAACCTTGCTACCTAACTGGTCATCCCACTGTTTATTCAGTAGTCTTGACTAACCCCTAAGTGAATGGCACATTAGTGAGTCTCCTTTTGGTACTAGTAGCCTAGCTAGCAGTATATAGAGATACTTAACGGATTTTTTCATTCACTAAATGAAACCTTACTAATTTGTGCTGCTAATGAGGATAAAACTCATTTCACAGGATTGCATTAAAAGGTTTAACAGGTAAGCAGATAACTGTAGTGTGAGAGACGCTGCACCATAGTTCACTTTTAATGGGGAATACAAACTTATTAGGATATTGTGTACTATTGAAAATAATACCAAAACTTTTTTCTTTTTTAAAGAAACAAAATTCAGATTCCTTTTTGTTTCCCAATTAAATCATTGCTTCAAAAACAGTTGCAATGTTCAGCATTGAGCTCATGAGTTGAGAATTGGCTACAGTATACTACATGTACAACTGGTTGATGCTAAGTCCTTAGCCTCTTATGAGCAGGAGTTGGGCTTTTTATAGGGCACAGATTGCTTTGACGATTGTACAGAGCTGGAGTCATGTCTGAACCTGCCCCAGGTACCAGAGGTGAGCTGCAGAAATAATTTGCAGCTTCTGGCTGCGGGTGGTAGCATAATTGTCTTGTACTTTCCAAAAAAGCAGCAGCTCCCCAAAAGGTGAAGTTTAATTTTATTCAGGGCTGGCATGTGCTGAGTACAAACCTATGCTTGACTCTGTAATTACTCTGACAGCTGAAGGATTTAGGATCACCAGGCTCCTGGATGGAGGAGAGCCCCAGAAGCTCCAACTCCCATTGGGTAACTTTGCAAAAATCCAAGAGAAGATACCTGGTAAATGAATTCTCCCTTCTCTGGATTTTGACTAAATGTCCTTGTAATTTGGCAGTTTGGTATTTTGCAGACTTGGAGACTGTCATCGCTGAGTGAGATTTAAACAGAAATAAAACTTCCTTGGTGACTTTTGTCTTTGGCTAGACATGAAAGATTAGTCTCCTTTTTTCCCATTGAGCCCACGGTTTCACTCAATATAAGAGATATCAGGCAGGTTAGAGAGGCAGAATAATTTGGCCAAGATCACATAGCTAGTCACTAATGTGTAGAACTGAGATTCTAACCTGGATATTTCTGATCCTGGTCATCAGAAAAACATGTAGCACCTACTATGTGTTCATTCTCTCACTCATGTCTGACTTTTTGCAATGCCAGGACTGCAGCACACCAGGCCTCCCTGTCCATTATCAACTCCTGGAGTTTACTCAAACTCATGTCCATTGAGTTGGTGATAACCATCCAACCATCTCATCCTCTGTCATCCCCTTCTCCTCCCACCTTCAGTCTTTCCCAGCATCAGGGTCTTTTCCAGTGAGTCAGTTCTTTGCATCAGGTGGCCAAAGTATTGGAGTTTCAGCTTCAACTTCAGTCCTTCCAGTGAATATTCAGGACTGATCTCCTTTATAGTCCAACTCTCATATCCATACATGACTACTGGAAAAACCATAGCCTTGACTAGACAGACCTTTGTTGTCAAAGTAATGTCTCTGCTTTCTAATATGGTCATACCTTTTCTTCCAAGGAGCAAGCGTCTTTTAATTTCATGGCTGCAGTCACCATTACAGAGATTTTGGAGCCCCCCAAAATAAAGTCTGCCACTGTTTCCACTGTTTCCACATCTATTTGCCATGAAGTGATGGGACCAGATGCCATGATCTTAGTTTTCTGAATGTTGAGTTTTAAGCCAACTTTTTCACTCACTTCTTTCACTTTCATCAAGAGGCTCTTTAGTTCTTCTTCACTTTCTGCCATAAGGGTGCTGTCATCTGCATATCTGAGGTTATTGATACTTCCATATTGTGTTAGGTACTTCCATATTGGGCTTTCCTGATGGCTCAGTGATAAAGAATATGCCTGCCAATGCAGGAGACCTGGGTTCAATCCCTGGGTTGGGAAGATCCCCTGGATTAGGAAATGGCAACCCACTCTGGTATTCTTGCCTGGGAAATCCCATGGACAAAGGAGCCTGACAGACTATAATTGATGGGGTTGCGAAAGAGTCAGACACAACTTAGCGACTAAACAACAGCAACTTCCATATTATTTAATTCTCATAGTAACCCTCCAAAGAAGATGTTATTTTGTCTCCATTTTACAGATTAAAGAAACTTGAGACCAGGAATGTTACTTCAGTCATAGATGACCATTCTTAATTCATGGTGCCATCAGTATCTCAGTAATTTTTTTATAAGGTTCTATGCCAAAAAGGACCTAACAGTCCCATTCAAGGTAGTTAGATGCAAACAATTTCGTACATATTTATGTCCTAAGAATTTAGTAGCCATTTGAAAAATGAAATGCTTGGATTAAAATATATTTTTTATTTCATTCTTAAATACCACAACTACTTACCTATAGATGTGTGTGCCTTTTGAGTACTGCACAACTTCTAAAACCTTGGAATCAGATTGAACGCCACCATCTTTGTTTCTTCTCCACATTGATTTTCACACAGCTCTTTTATCACAGTAACCATCCAAAGCCAGCCTGTCAAAGAAAGGATATCATCAAAAGAAACAGTACCTGGACCTAATGGTTAATGCATTCACTGTTCCACAGATGTCAGATGTCACTGTGCTTTTCTTGGAAATGTGAATCCTTGGAATCTCCTATGGATTCAATGTGGTGTCCCATGGCACACGGTTTGGGAACTACAGACTTTGGGTTACATACATAGTACGTGCTTATGAGTGAAATCTAGATGTGTCTGATCCTAGATTTATGTCCTTTTTTAAAAAAAATATACATGTATTACTTGATAAAATTAATTTTAATTCAGTGTAATCTTTTAAATGATGTAACAGTGGATGAGGTTCATGCAAATTCACCTCTGTTTGCTGTCATGTTTAATTTTTTGTGTTAATATTTAGCAAATGCCTAATAAATAACTTGTTGGGAAAAGAGGGAAACCTTCCCCCCTACCTTGGAGACAGAATTTTATAAAATCTAATAAAAGTCAAGAGTCATTAGAACCACAGAAAAGCTATTGCTCTAGGGGCCTGATATCTTTTGGTCTTTCACTTGAGTGTATTTTGTTTGAACCAAGAACCTTGACCCTTTAAAAGCTGCATATAAGTTGGTATGGCTTAAATCACTTAACTAGCAATAAATATATAAATCCATTGCTCAGTCATGTCTGATTCTTTGCAACCCCATGGACTGCAGCGCACCAGGCTTCCCTGTCCACCATGAACTCCCGGAGCTTGCTCAAACTTGTGTCCATTGAGTCAGTGATGCCATCCAACCATCTCATTCTTTGTCATCCCCTTCTCCTTCTGCCTTCAATCTTTCCCAGCATCAGGGTCTTTTCAAATAAGTCAGTTCTTTGCATCAGGTGGCCCGGGTACTGGAACTTTAGCTTCAGCCTCAGTCCTTCCACTGAATATTCAGAACTGATTTCCTTGAGGATTGACTGGTTGGATCTCCTTGCAGTCCAAGAGACTCTCAAGAGTCTTCTCCAACACCGCAGTTCAAAAGTATCAATTCTTCCGTGCTCAGCTTTCTTTACTGTCCAACTCTCACATCCGTATGTGACTACTGGAAGAAGCATAGCTTTGACTAGACGGACTTTTGTCAGCAAACTAGCAGTGCTCATAACTTAAATAACGTGAGTGATTTTATTAGCAGATTCTTCATTCTCATAGAGATACTCACCCCTTGGCTTTTCACTTTTGTGTTTTGATTTGTATAAAACTGTTTTTCTTGAAGTGAAAAACGCCACAGTTTGCACTTAAACACTGGCTGTTGTACTGAATTTCCTGAAACAAGACCTTAAGCTTGCCCAGGGAGCATACCTTGCAGTCAGCACACGTAAGACCTTGTATTTACAGATCTTTTAACCTGAGATGGGTCATACCTGGTCAGCCTCCAGAAGCCCTGTGGGGTGCACTTAGGCTTGATGAGGAAGACGTGCAGAAAGAACTGAAAAGATGCTGGGTGTTGCTTCATTAGGGGCTAGTCTTCCTTCTTAAGTGCAAAATCAATGTCCAGACAGAGCTGTGAATGGTGCTAAGGGGATGGCGGTATTAGCTTCAAGATAAACACCTCCCTTGTCCTTTCCAGGTACAGTAATTATTTGTCAGTTCAAAAACCTGGATAGATAGCAGGGCTGCTGCTGATTAACAACTGTTATTGTGCTTGCATTTTAAGGATCTAATAAATAAAAACACATCGATGAGGCTCACACTCCTCTCTGTGTCCCTTTATCCACGGGGCATCATTAATGGTGAGGCACTTGAGTCTCACTGCAGGAGCAACAATGTGGGTGACCATGAAAGATGGGCTCTGCAGTGCATGTGTCCCCTCTGCGACTCCAAGTAGCAGAGCATGCAGCAGGGAAAGAATTGTGGGTAGTAATTTGGGTGTTAAAATATTAACACATTTCTGCATATTTAATGTGGTTTCCTTTTTAAATAGTAGGCAGATTATGGCCCACGAGCAGATAGGTTTATGATTTCAAATTAAATTTTAAGCATTAAGAAAAATTAAAAATCCAAAGAGGAACTACTTTGTTACAAAGACATTCAGCTAATCTAAATAAGAACTGGCTTTCTTTTCAGCTTCTCTGATCATCTGTCCATAGCCTAATTTACAGCCTAATTTTATGACCGTCACTCGTGACTGAAGCTTCATGATAGATTTTAGTCTTAAAAACTTTCATTCGTCTACTTTGCATTTGAGTACATATTATGTGCTTGACCATAGTCCCTAGACTCACAGTAGGGAATCTTAACAGAGGAGGTGACGTTTGTATCTGGGCATTAGAAGTGTGAGGACCGCTGTGTACATAACGCTATTTACGGTTTTACTGGGCAGTACTGGAGCCTGGTCTCGACAGCAGAGGCAGACTTTTTTTCACCCATAACCTACTTTTTCCCTTTCTCACTTCTCCGTCTCTCCAACTCAGATCCTAATACTTGTGGAAAAAACTGTCCCGGGGAAGGAAACAAGGGCCCTTAACATATTTCTCCTTTCTCCTGTTTCCGCATAGGCAAAGATGCCCTTCGATGCCAACAAACTGTATTGTAGTGAAGTGCTGGCCATATTGCTCCAGGACAACGATGGTGAGGCTCCCTCTCGGTATTGATATTCTGTTAGGATAGGAGCCAGGCTTGTTTCAGATCATGACAGCAAGCTCTCTTGCCTTTGGCATCCCCTTGCTCTCCCTCTCGCTCTCTGTGCAGCTTTTGTACTCTGTCAAGCTGTATTGATTTTGTTTGCTGATGTATCAGTGTTAGACGGCTGTAAAATCTGACAGTTAGCTTCATTTTTTTTTCTTCTTCTATTTTTTCCCCCTTTTAGAAAACAGGGAATTGCTTGGGGAGCTGGATGGAATTGATGTGCTTCTTCAGCAGTTATCCGTGAGTAATTCTTATGCTTCCTGTCTGCCATGAAGATACATGGCTTGTATCTTTAAATGGGAGGTGGAGCTGGAGATGGTGGGAAGGAATAAGCCATGTGATGCAAGCCATATGGGGTGTGTTGGCAGGCTTGAGGTCACAATGGAGGCACATGGTTTGCCTCCTTTCTTAGTCGTTTGCTCTTTATGACCAGATATCACCATGTATCTGGTGTGGACTTTCTCAGTCTGCTGATGTTTGTCAGGCCCAAAGACGTGTGCTTCCCACTTAAGTATATATTTTTGAGCCAAGAATGCCACACTATTTTCAGTTGACCCACTCCCAAGATTATTCACTTTCTTTTTTGTCAGTCTGCCACTAAATTGGGGTCTGTTCATTTAGAATCAGGTAAGCTTCACATGTACAAGTTCCAGTGCAATGGGATAGAGGTCAGAGAGGAGGATTAGGGGGAGGATGTGGCACTGGAGGCTGGAAAAAGAAATTAGAAATTGCCATTTGCTCAGTGTTAGAAATGTAAATCCCGTTGAAATGTTCTGCTGGCATTCTGAAAATACTGTTAAGATTTTTTTTTCCTAACCAGTCTCATCTGTGCTATTCCAAAACCAGGATTGAAAATAGATCATTTGGATAAAATCTTTAGAGTGTTGGGAGTGTCTGAGATGTCAGTTTGCATACAGCTTCCATCCTGGTGCCAGCAGCCTGAGTGGTTTGGCCTTCACCCCAAAAAATAGAGCTTTGAATTGTGAATCTGTTCCCAGTTCTGGGAAAGTGCTTAGTCCCTTTCCTATAAGATTGATCATTTTGTAGTAGACTGTATGGGTATGCATACACTGTTAAGAGGCTTTCCCCCTAACATGCCATGTATTTCTGGCAAAGATAAAAACTGCTTGAAGCCATTCCCATGACTTAGAGCCACAAATGGTCTGTAAAGCAGTTCATTAGCCCTGGTGATTAGGAAACTGTTCCTTATTTGGGGCCAGGATTTGTCCTTCAGAACTGTGATTTATTTTACAGCGGGAAGAAATGTGTTGTGGTCGGGTGGGCCAAGTGGAGAGCTTTGGGGTGGGGGTAGCTGGCAAAGTTGTTTCTCGATCTGGGTGATGGTTTCAGGGGTGTTAACCTTACTCATTTAGCTGTACATGTTTATAGAGTTTTCTGTAGGTGAATATGTTTCATAATAAAAAGATTTTGTTGGTTTTTGTTAAATCTGCCTCCTTGGAACTATGAATCACTCCTGAACCTAATGGTCAATTGAGTGGTTTTTTATTGTTATTGTGTTTTTTTGTTTGTTTGTTTTTGTTTTTGCATGATAGCCATTTATTTAATACCTGTGAATCAGAAAGCCCAGTTTCTCTAAAATGGAAACAAATGGGAATTTTGTTTGGTAAGGCTCTGCTTCTTCAGTTGTAGGGTTATTGGAGTAGACAGGCTTTGGAAATTGTTGAATGCTGGTTGATGAAAAGACCTTCTCTTATGATTCTGTGCCTTCTGATATTTTTGCTTGACAGGTGTTTAAAAGACACAATCCTAGCACAGCCGAGGAGCAGGAGATGATGGAAAATCTGTTTGATTCCCTCTGTTCCTGCCTAATGCTGAGTTCCAATCGTGAGCGCTTCCTAAAGGGCGAGGGTCTTCAGCTGATGAATCTCATGCTAAGGTATGCTTCTCATCTCCTATCATGTCCTAGCTGTACATCTTTTTTTGTCCAACTCCTCACTGTTAGCCTGGATTCAAGAACATGTAGCTAGCTATGGTCTTTTATTCCATTGAGTTTCCTAGATGTATTAAACAGTAGTCTTCAGGTGAGTGTATGGTCTTTTCTGAAGTTAGTTTGGATGAATACAGAGTATATTTTGGTCTGTTTGTACCCTATTGTTATGTCATTTGGTAATAGGACCACTCCAGTGAAGGGAAATTTGTTGTTGTTGTTCCTTCTCATAGTGTGTTGGTTTGGGGAAATCTAGTCATTAACTTCTAAACATACCCTATGATAATTTCTAAACTTAGCCCAATTTTCTTTTTATCTTATATAGACCTATCTATGCCTATGTTTGTCCATCCATATTTTTACTATTGACAAAGATCAATAGTGGCTCAGATGGTAAAGATCTGCCCACAGTGTGGGAGGACCAGGTTCGATCCCTGTGTCGGGAAGATCCCCTAGAGAAGGAAATGACAACCCGCTCCAGTATTCTTGCCTGGAGAATTTCATGGACAAAGGAGCCTGGCAGGCTACAGTCCATGGGATAGCAGAGTCAGACATGACTGAGCAACTAACATACTTTACTATTGACAGCAGAATGTAATTCCTGTTTTTCATTTATACATATTTTTCATTATATATTATTATGAGTTGTGCCTTGCTATGTGGCTAGCATCAGAGATACGAAAATGTGCAAGACGGTTCTAGAACTTTTCTTCATAATTCCTTCCTTGTATATCTAGGTCTAATTTAAAGCTCAAACAGTAAACAATCTGCCTGCAGTGCGCGAGACCTGGGTTTGATCCCTGGGTCGGTAAGATCCCCTGGAGAAGGGAATGGCAACCCACTCCAGTATTTTTGCCTGGAGAATCCCATGGAAGAGGAGCCTGGTAGGCTCCAGTCCATGGGGTTGCAAAGGGTCGGACATGGTTGAGTGACTGTCACTTTCACTTCACTTTCATATCTTATTACTTGTGATTTCATTTCTTAAAATAGTTAAAGTAGGTTTCATATTGGTGTAATTCACAGAATCTGGAAGTAAATGGGAGATAGCTTGTAGTTGATAACTCCTGAGAAATCTGGCTTGGAAGCAGTAGAGATATAGGGTGAAGAGGTAACCAGAGCTGGGTGTTTAGTTGACAGTGGTCAGTTTTTTTTAATTGAGAGATGTAAGAGCATGTTTGATTGGTTGGAGGACTGAGCACTATGGGATTATTCTTTATGAAACTGAGCCTGAGTCTGCTGTTTTGAAACATATCTGCATACATTGAAAATTTCAGTGAAAAAGTTTTTTTAATAAATTTGATACTTATCTATTAAATATAGCTTAAAATATAGAAATACAGAACTGTTAAAGCACTGATAAGGTAATGTGTTAAGTGCTTGGCTTATACAGAAATGAATGGTAGGATTCCTGTCCCTTTGGATGCAGATTCCTTGGAGTCTTTTTCCCCATAATTGTTTTGTTATTTTTAACGCTTTTTAGGCCTACCACACTTGTAATTTTCTATACTGTTTATTTTTTTAACTTAACATGCTGTTTCCCATGTTGTGACATAATCTTCATGACAGTTTTCAATAATTGAATAATGGTGACACCAAGGGAATATAACTTGGTCTTTCTTTGTTATTGATATCGTAGTTATTTCCAATGTTTTGTTGTTTTAAAAAATTCTCCAGTGACAGATTCTACAAATTTTTGTGCTTAAAGCTATTTTTGTACTTAAGATCATCAGGGTATGTGTTTCGAAAACATCTTCTTTTTAAAGGCTTGTGTAGGCCCAGGGGCACAGTAGATCTCTTGGTTTGTCCAGTGTGTACCAGACCTTGGATTGATTGAAAATCTTCCTTGGTGGAATTGTTTTTAAAATTTTATTTTAAAGTACAGAGAGGGGCAGTGTAATTATTCAGAGGCCTTTAGTGTTCAACTGATTTTTGCTGGCTCTTCTCTCTTGAGTCTTCTGTTTGTTTATCTTCTTACCCTTCTAATTGCCTGTCCTTTTGTTGAAATGACCCACCTTCTCTCAAGCACATAGCATATAAAGAAGATGCATTTGGCTTCCTGGGCCTTATAACCTTAAAACTATATTCTACAGGGACTTTCTTCTAAGCTTCTTAAAGGTCTGAACTGCCAGTGTCTTTGGATGTTTGAGTACAAATACGAGGTGATGTATTCCTGTAGCATATGGCTTGGAAATGTGCAGCAGTGGGGAGCTGAATAAATAACCAGAAGTATGGATTATTCAAGCAGGAATGCTGAGGTTCTGGGAGCCTAATTTAAAAAGGAGCTCTAAAAGATGTAGAAATAGCACCTTTCTAGGATCTCCTAACTTTTCATTTTTGAATGCTGAATTTACTGTTAGATTAATTCTTTTACCTTAATTAGCTATATCAGCAGATTCAGCATTTCTTTTTTTTCTCTTTCTCATGCTCTTTGTTCTGTGTAATTTTTTTTCTTCAGACTCCCAAATGAAAAGTTTAATTGGGAGAGAGTTGTTTCTCCCTAGTAGATCCATCCTTCCTGATCTTCTAGCAAGAGCTGCCAAGTTGCTCTCTGTCTCAAGGGAACCCATTTAAAAACTATGCAGCTATAACACTAGAGGTTCAGGAAAATTCCTCTGGTTCCATTGCCCGTAAATACTGATTTTTATTTGAATTCAAGCAGTCATCAAACAGTTAATGAAATGCCCACCTGGAGTGGTAGCAACATGTTGTAGTGTGAAAGAAAGGGGTTTAGAGTTGAGGCAGATGTGGATTTGGAACACAGCTCTTTCAATGACTAGTTCTGGATGTTTGGTGAGTTATTCTAACCTTTCTGTCCTCTGATTCTCCCTCTTTTCATCTGGAAAATGGGAGTAACAATGCCAAATTTGCAGGGATTTTGTGGGAATTAGACTATATAAATTGTCTGGGACAGCTATGCAGTTATTAAAACATTGATAAAGTGCTATGTTCACTTACTGTGTTAAGTGCTAGGCCTATCACAGACATGAACAAGACAGGATTCTTGCCTCCAAGAAACTCAATAGGTCGTGATGGAGGCTGACATTAAATAACTCTAATATAAAGTATTAACTGTGAAGAGTAACAGTGAATTTTGCATGTCCACAGCCTAAGAGTTTTTTTTTTTTATGTTTCCGATTATTGATAAGGAATGATCACCAACAAGATAGTCATTTATACATTTATGTACACACATTATCACACATACATATATATGATTCAATTTTAATATTTTATCTCTATCAAGGCATAAATGATATATAATCAGACACTCATTTTAAGTGTATAGTTTTAATTTTGGCAAATGTGTATACCTTTATTTTCACCACAAGGAACATAAAAGATACTGTCGACTGAAAAACATGCACAACATGAAAGTTGTGAGTTAAGTTTTATTTGGGGCAAAATGAGGACTGTAGCCTGGGAGACAGCCTCTCAGATAGCTCTGAGGAACTGCTCTGAAGAGGAAGTGGGGAAGTCAGTCTATATGTAATTTTGGTGAAGGGAGATATGTGCACCATTTTGGCAGAGTGTTGCTGCTAATCACAAGGAGCAGATGTCTCAATGATTTTATTGCTTTCCTGGATAGGAGAGGATGCAAGAAATTAGGCTCAAAAAATCTTCTCCTGTCCTCACACCATACACAAAAATAAACTCAGCATGGCTTAAAGAGTTAAATAAAGACATGACACCATAAAACTCCTAGGAGAGAACATAGGCAAAGCATTGTGACATAATCATAACAGTGTTTTCTTAGGTCAGTCTCCCAATGCAAAAGAAATAAAAGCAAAAGTAAACAAATGGGACCTAATCAAGCAAAAAAGCTTTTGCTCAGCAAAGGAAATAAAATGAAGGGACAGCCTCCAGAATGGGAGAAATATTTGCAAATGATACAGCAGACAAGGGCTTAATTTCCAAAATATAAAAACAGCTCTTAATGCTCAATATCAAAGAAAAAAACAAAAAACAACCCAGTCAGAAATTGGGCAGAAGACCTATAAAGGCACTTTCCCAAAGACATACAGTACAGATAGCCAAGATAGTCAACAGGTGCATGAAAAGATAACATTGCTAATTATTATAGAAATGCAAGTCAAAACTGAAGTGAGGTATCACCTCACACTAGTCAGAATGGCCACTGTCAAAAAGTCTACAAGTGATCAATGCTGAGAAGGTGTGGAAAAAAGGGAACCCTCCTATAATGCTAGTATGTGGTGCTCAGTCGCTTCTGTCATGTCCAACTCTTTGTGACCCTATGAACCGTAGCCTGCCAGCTTCCTCTGTCCATGGGATTCTCCAGGTAAGAATACTGGAGTGGGTTGCCATTTCCTTTTCCAGGGGTTTTCCTGACACAGGGATCAAAACCGCATCTCTTATGTCTCCTGCACTGGCAGTCAGGTTCTTTACCACTATCGCCACCTGGGAAGCACAGTGGGAAGCTAGTGGAAATATAAATTGGTGCAGGCCCAACAAGATAGAGGTTGTTTAAAAAACTAAAAATACAGTTACTATATGATCCAGCAATCCCACTTTGGGGCATATATCTGGAAAAGATGAAAACTGTAATCTGAAAAGATGCACGCAGCACAGTGTTTCTTAGCCATATTACTTAAACAATAACTAAAACATGGAAGCCACTTGTGTCCATCAGCAGATGAATGGATAAAGATGATGTGGTTATATATACATACAATGGAATATTACTCAGCCATAAAAGTAATGAAAGAGCCATATTCTCTCTCATAAAAGGGAATAAAATATCATGTGCAGCAACATGGGTGAACCTAGATTATCATTCTAAGTGAAGTCAAAGAAAGACAAATATATGAAGTCACTTATATGTAGAATCTTTAAAAAATAATACAAATGAACTTATTTACAACATAGAAATAGACTCACAGACATAGAAAATGAGCATATGGTTACCAAAGGGGAAAAGTAACCAATATTAT